TGTTTGCTGCGATGTATATATAGAAGAGGAAGTGGGAGTCAATAAGTATCTCAACGGCACAATCCCATGTTACTAAATTCTAGCTGCCAACATATATTGTCCAGTAAAATTGCCAACCCCCTGACAGGGTCACTATCCCTGTCTCCTAGTACATTAGTGTCGTATTTTGTTCCAGGTTAAGCGACCTTAAGCAACAATTGGTTGGTTATTGCTTCTACCCAGGGCTGGAGCTATTAACAGCTCCGCATAATACAAGGATATTGGATCCACGAACAATACACGCATTGACTGGTTTGTACGAATCCGACAGGAAATCAAAGGTAGATAATACGAGAATTACTTTCCAGGGTCTACTTAGCAGGACCGGGGCTTTTCGGATTCAAAGGTACTATCTTATTGTGCGTACTTTTGTACTTAGTACTATAATAAACGAGGCAATATACGGAGTGCAATTTATGAAAACACGCTAAAGCTGTACCGTCTGGGGGCCAAAACTATGGACTTGTTGTCAAGCCAATCGCGATCCTAGCGCTTTAGGACCCTGGTATTTCTAGAGAAGCGATTGGCCAACTCAGCTAAACATGACGCTCTATGATCCTGTAGGTATGTGCTGTAACAATAGTACCTAAGTATAAATTCTTTTAGAAATAATCTGTTCTCAGCTGGCTATTTCTCCACATTTTTCTTTTTGGTCCTCTTAAGGCCAGAGAAAACCGTGATTCTCCTATAAGGAACACTTCGGTCGCTACTCTCGATCATGGCAACCATGGACGCTGAATACATAAGCCAGACAAAGGGTCCACGTATTCTAGGGGTCTTCTGGGCTTTCTTCAGTGTAAGCGTGGTGATGGTATCCTTGCGATTTTATATCCGAGCCCGAGTATTGAGGAACATTGGACTCGATGATTATATTGTCCTGGTTGCAATGGTATGTACCTTCCAGTCGATTTTGAGATACGCCAGATACCAATTACATAGGTTATGGTCACCAGTTATACAATTCTCACCACGGTGAACGTCGTTTTAGGCTACGGAAGCCATACCTCTGTCTTGATGGAAAAAGGCGGGATTGACTTGATCGAACGTATTCTAGTCATTAATTATGCAAACTTTGCACTAGGAATCATGTCTTTCACAACTCCAAAACTGGCAATCGCTGCTCTCCTGAATCGCATCATGAATCCCAGCCGCTTGAGCCGAGTATGGCTATGGATATTGACAGCCTCGGTGTTCGTGACATCGACCATCTGCATCATCGTTCTATTCACCATGTGTGATCCTCCCCAGGCTTTATGGAAGGTACATCTCATGAGTGAGGGGGCAAAATGTCGTTCGACCAAGATTTTGGTGGGCTATGCAATCTTCACTGGAGGTATGTTTCTGGACCGTATGTTTTTCGCAAACCAGCAACTAAACTTTCTCAGTTCTGTCGGCGGGGGTCGATCTATATCTTGCAATTTACCCGACTGTGGTATTGCTACAACTTCAAATGTCGATTCAGAAAAAGTTGGCCCTGTGTGCGGCTTTGGGGTTGGGCGCAGTGTAGGTTGATTGATGTTATTGTCTGGAGAAAGTAGCTGATCGTCTACGCAGAGCCTGTGCAATGGCTATTATCAAGTGTCTACAGCTACCAGGTCTGTATAATACGGAAGACTCGACATGTAAGTCGCTTTGAGTGCATAACATGAGATATATATCACTGACACGGCACAATAGACGCAACAGCAGATCTTGTTATATGGACGAGGTATGTTTTCAGTCCTGCTTTTCTCCGGCCTTGATCCAAAAGCTTACGCCCGCGTCTCCTCTATCAGCGTCGAGTCCAACATCATCATAATGGCCTCCTGCATCCCAACCTTGGGTCCGATCTACGAAATGATTCGAGGCAGACGTTCCTGGAGCTCACACGCGCGATACGAGAGCGGAAAGTTGCGCTCTTACACGGATAGACCCACGAAGAAATCGGCAAGCAATACTCGCGAGGACGAGGATATCCTCATGATCACGAATATTAGGGTTACAAGGAGCGGTAGCCAAGAAAGCATTTTGAACTCGGATCAACTCCGGAAAGAGGCCTATGTGGCAGGTAAGATTCATCGCACGGATCAGGTAAAGATCGAGTACGAGACAAGACCTCAAGGTGAGAATGGACCTGCACCTTCATGGTAGCATGGTTTGTCTACTAGTGTACTACTACCTCCTATGTTCATTATTGCGGGTTGACTAAGTTGTAACCTTTCAACTCTACCTAATTCAATCTTTTCTTCCCGAGCGATGTTGTCATTTCGGGAGCGAAATGCTTCTAATCTATCAACAATCCCATCAGCAACTTCACTCGTTTACCCATTCGAATATGATGTCCTCAGGGACATCACGGACCAAAATATGGACATGCTCCAAGGCCCGCACACTCTGTAGGCCAACCCAATTCTTAAACCATAGCACATGGGAGTCAGGGTCCGAGAAGTTTTGGGGATCCTTAGCCAATCGGTCCACGAAAGTCTTTCGAACAAAACCGTTGATGATTGCACGAGATTCATCGGTCAAATGGCCCTCATCGGATTGTACAGGGATAGGAGTGCGTAGCCACACGACAAGATGGGAGATTCCGGGGGTGAGGCCATAGGGCCAGTCATTGCGGAGGATCTTGTAGTCCTCGGGATCGGCAAAGGGACGCGGGTTCTTGAAGGTCGCTGTCCCGTGCTGGATAACCGCGGAGTCAGTGCCGCTGGCAGTGTTTAGCGGCAAATCCCACTTTAATCGCCGCTGGCAAATATAATTCATGATCGTGCCATACTGAGCTTTAGTCTCTTGTGTCCAGGCCAGGTATCGGCGGAGATCGGAAGGCTTCCGCTTGAGTGCGCCGAGGTCATTTCGTGCTATTATGGCATATGGCATGAGGGGAATTGTTTCGAGCAGAAGTGAGAAATATACTTACCGATGATGCTTCTTAGGTCTTCCCAGTCGTGGTATATGTACTCCTCGTCGGTCATGGCCAGGAGCTTGTGGTCCAATTCCGTTAGATTAAAGGCAGGGACTTCTGGTACTTCGGGCATTTTGGAATGATCAAAAGAAGAAATCAAAAGCGATGTAAAACAAGCCAATAGCCTCAGTAAATCAAATAACCCCAGCAAGTCCAGTAAGTCCAACTCCAAATAAGTCCAAGTAAACACGGAAAGCCGGGGAAATCGTAACTCCAAAGGGTGGGAAATTCCGTTGGGCGGAGCCCCCTCATCTCTTTTTATCTTCTCTCTCGCTTTTTCTTCTTCTCTTTCTGCTTCTATCGCAACTGTCTTATTGAAATACAGTATCCGAGTTCTGTCATAATGAGGTGAGTTGATCTTCTCCTATAATATCGCACAATGGCTGATTCCTCCAAGCCTCGCCAACATCGGCACGGCCCTCGTGCCCTCGGCCCTGCTCATCGCGAGTGTTTACGCCATTAAGCCCGAGTTTATCGCCTATGCAATTGCTGTCGCTGGAGTTCTGGCTGGTTACTTGGTTTTCAGCACCAGTAGTGCGTGCATCTTTTTATGTCCAAATACTCGAGTGAGGAATTAAGCTGACCCCCGATGTCGCAGAGCCTCGCAAGGTCTTGAACCCCACCGAGTTCCAGAACTTCGTCCTCAAGGAGAAGAACGAGATCTCTCACAATGTCGCTATCTACCGTTTTGCCCTCCCACGTTCCACCGATATCCTCGGCCTCCCCATCGGTCAGCACATCTCTCTCGCCGCCACTATCGCAGGTCAGCCTAAGGAGGTTGTCCGCTCTTACACCCCTATCTCCTCCGACAACGAGGCCGGCTACTTCGATCTGCTCGTCAAGGCTTACCCCCAGGGTAACATCTCCAAGTATCTTACCGAACTGAATATTGGCGACAACATGAAGGTCCGTGGCCCCAAGGGCGCCATGGTGTACACCCCCAACATGTGCCGCCACATTGGTATGATCTCCGGCGGCACTGGTATTACCCCTATGCTGCAGGTCATCAAGGCCATTATCCGCAACCGTCCCCGCAACGGTGGCAACGACACCACCAAGGTTGACCTCATCTTCGCCAACGTCAACCCCGAGGACATTTTGCTCAAGGACCAGCTCGAGGAGTTGGAGAAGGAGGATGATGGATTCCGCATCTACTACGTTCTTAACAACCCGCCCGAGGGCTGGACTGGCGGTGTTGGCTTTGTGACTCCCGATATGATCAAGGTAAGTTTGCGTGCTGTGCTCGCCTGTGCTACCTCGGTATTAATTAAGCTTTATTATAGGAGCGCTTGCCCGCCCCCGCTGCCGATGTTAAGATTTTGCTCTGCGGTCCCCCTCCCATGGTCAGCGCGATGAAGAAGGCCACCGAGGCTCTTGGATACACCAAGGCGCGCCCCGTCAGCAAGCTGGAGGACCAGGTCTTCTGCTTCTAAGGGATTCGCTGCGAATCAAAGAAAAGTTGCTGTTTTCGAACTTGACTCTGCCTTTAATATATGTGGATCTTCTATTGAATGTTAGCGGGCCCACCGTGAAGCATTTTTCTTTTTTGATGTATAATCTCTGGTGTGGTTAGATTTGTGAATAGACCCCAGCCTACAAGGGATTAAATGAGCGCACCGGGAATCGAATGCGTGAGATATCCGCCTAGATCTTGGTGTTATACCATGTTCGTAATCGTCAATTCTGGTTCTACGGGTTGGTTTCAGCGAGAGCTTGGAGCAATAAACGTCTTTCATTGTATGCACCACCGTACACATCCTAGGGTGTCGATGGTCAAGGAGCATGGACTTAACATACTAGAGGTAAATGTAGATAGAGAAGACGAGGTCATAATATTACATACAGGCCAAGACCATAATTATACAGGCGGTGATTAGAGCAGTGAGCCTTGAGAAAAGAATGACGTGGATGATTTTTCAAGCAGGGCCTTGATGTGTCCTATTAACGATACGAATGAACATGCTTTACTTATAACAAATGAATTTAATGATTTACAACATACATAATTAATTGAAAACTATTCCCTATTGCCACTAGGTGCGGACGAATGAGAGCGGGAAGATCCAAATGATACCCCTTCGCCATCGCGAGGTTGAGTTGTACTCCAACTCATACCAGAAGCTGTGATGGCACGTGTATAAGCATCGTCCCTGTCATAAGACGCCCTGTTGATTGCTGTGGCAACATATATATCGTCAGAACTGGTATCCTTCACGCTTCGCAAGTCCATAATCTTACCTTCATCCAAACCCCGAGAATTGTTGGCATTAGACACTTCTTCCACGTCTTGACTGCGCTTTTTGTCTTCATTGCGATCTAGGCCTTGTAGGGCTCGAACTCCGTACGATGCCGTTTCGCTCATGTACCATACAGCTAACGCCCGTGTCAGTATACGGATATTGGATGCCAAATCTCGTAGTCCATCAAGACTGAGACAGGCCTGCAAGTAGATTGACTTACTCTTAAATGGCAGCATCGCAATCTTTCCACAAGTAACCGCAGACCCAAAGCCCACGGTTCTCGCGACTTTCATAGCCGTCTCGGTTCGGGTTTTAGGCTGCGCGACTTTCTGGCCCATCGGCACGGGTACGTCATTCTCAGTCTGGACAATAATCAATAATCTGGCCAGTTCTGGGTGTATATGCAGATAAGCGTCACTTGAGCTAAGCCGCGTTGCGCTTCTTACCTCGCGTTTCCTGTGCGCATCTGCGATATGCGAGACAGTGGGTTTGATGATGGCTTTGATCAGACTTATGGATACGCCCTTTGCGTCGACAAGGAAAGTGGTCTTGACTTTTTCTTCGACGAGCTCGCGGGTTTTATCTCGTCTTGTGTGTGCTGGGTACTCATCCCTGTTTAATGTCATTAGCTCAAGTTCCCAAGTTCAAACCGGACTGGCCGAGGCAAAAAAGGACCTACAGTTCTGCCGTGGAGCCACCTCCTCTTGTCGAAATGACGACCACATCAGCCTCAAACTTGCTGCTAAACGATGGTTGTAATTGCATGCGATGGATCACAGGCTCTGTGTCGGCATCACTGCATTGAACCTTCTCCCATTTTAACTGGCGATAGAATGATTGGACGGCGTTTGCAGTGCCGTTCTCCCCCTGGATCTTCTGGCCTAACCTTGAAGCAACTCGTTTGACCTCTGGCCTTAGGCAATACTGGAACGCCTCGAAAAGGACTTCGCTGCTGAGCGCTTGCTCGCGAAGTGGAGATGGACCGAGTCCTGCGTTGTAGATGGTGGTTGCCCAAAAGGGTTGGCTAAGAATTATCAGCGTGAAACCTCAAAGTTTGGGCTCAGGCATGGCTGGGCCAAAGCAATTCAAAAATGCAAGACTTACTCGCAAAGAAGTGGTAGTGAGATCATTGGTTTCCCGTTTTTGGCACCCTGCTTTACCGTTGGGATGTCACCACTGGTGAATAAGATCGATACTCGGCGGATGAGCCATTCTTTGACTTTTCAGAAATCTTCAATCAGCTGCGTTGTTTTCATAAGTGTAGATTTTTTGCGGAAGTACACTCACCATTTGGGTCATTCTCTAGCAGGAAAATCTTCGGCAATTCAGAAACATCAATTGCTTCTCGGAACCCACTCGGCAGAAGCAGATATATCCCATGTTTCTGTGAAGCTTCCACGAGATATTGAACGAATAACTCAGGGTTCTTCAATTGGGTGATATCCAGAGCAACGAAGACAGGCTCAAGTGCGGAATCGAGGAAATTCTTTAGCGCCTTTGACGGGGTATAAGAAGATGGGCTTTCGATTGTAGGATAGCCGGAAATATCTAAGAACTCATGTTAGAAAAGATCTCGGTCGAGTCCGAGACTGGTTTTGCGCATACCAATGGTGTCATCCCAGTCCTCTGGTTTGGGGAGCAATTCCGATGACCATAGATAGGTATGAGGAATCTTTGATTCTCTTAAAATCTCAGCTCCGCTAGATAGAGGCAGCTGCGGTAGGTCTAGGACTGCTTTTCGGAAATGATCGACGACGTTGCACACCCTAGAGCACTGTCAATGACTGTCTTTATACGGCTGGATAATTCGAGGGCCAAGGCTATACTTACTCATGCCATGCCGACTCCCAGACCAGTAGATAGGAAATATAGTTTTGCAACTGGTAATCAATCTCACTCCCCGTCGTGATCTGTGCTAGCGGGTGTACGAATCGTCGCGTCGGTGTCCAGGGGCTGTTGGACATTATATGAAGCGGGATGGATAACCGCTCCGCACAATGGACATGAGCGTGTGCAAGAGGCGTTGCGATGATGGCGTCGGTGACAAAGGGTTTGCTTTCGTGCGAGCCGGGGTAGATGCAGGCATTCCAACATTCCTTGAGTGTGTTTAGCAAGACCTTTTTGTTTTTCAAGGCCTGGTGCCTGTCAAGACCGTTTGAATCAGGCATGAGGCCAGAATCCCTTGCCTGTTATGTATGAGCTTTTTGTTTACTGAAATACCGGTAAAGATATGAAGGGGAATTTACCGCGATGGGATGCTCTGGGTCGCTGCTGATGGAGAAAAATTCCAATCCGGCCCTGTGAACGAGCGATTGGAAGATTGAGTGTGAAGCGACTCGAACTCTGTGGCCTTGTCGGTGGAGTTCCTGGCCAACCAGTATAATAGATTTGATCTCCTCTATGTTATGACCATTAGCAGTGCATGGGTAGGAGTGCCCTTGGCGATGTTCAATTCTTTACCTCTGCTTCCCACAAGCATCAAAAGAATATCCAGTGGAATTTCATGAGTTCCAGATACGGTCTTCACATCATCAGTGTTTATGGGAAGTGAATCTGAGCTGGAGCTGTTGGCTTGAATTTGTATTATCCGTGGTCGTTGGGCAGGTAATAAAAATTGTTCGATTAGCATAGACGTGCGATTCCCGGCACTTAAATCTATGCTAAAACGACCGATGTCTATATCATTGATATTAGTTAGCACATGAGTTTTCAGATGTGTACTTCTTTTCGATTTTGAGTACCTTCGATCAGGATTGATTCCCGCCTTTCATCCCGGGTGGTTGACGGTGAAAGTAGTAGGTCTTCGGAGAAGAGAGAGCTGTAGGTGGGTGGCGGGAGCTCATTAGCACTTGAATGTTCGTCCATTTGGTTGTCATCAACAATTTCTTGTTCTCTTAGCTCTTGTTTGGAGAACATTTTGCTGAATCTTGGGCGGAGAACTTCAGCGGAAGGATCGCATTATTAAAGATGCGCCAGTGGCGTATGGCTAGGCAGCTTCTTTTTTTTCCCTTCCCCTTGAAACTGCTATTAAGGTTTTTGACCGTTGATAATCCTTCTAGAACCAATCCACTATCGTGTTGTCTAGGGTTTCAATATTCGGATCTAATACGAACCCGAATCCGAGACCCACATCTGGTTAAGCTTGATACTATGGGGTTTGAATGTTCGTATTCGGCTTCGGATCATATAAGCAGAGTTATGAAACATACATTTAGTCTTTCGCATACATTTAGTCTTTCGCAGTAGGAGTTTATGTTATCTTTGTCAAAATCGCTTCACCATAGGATCACCGTCTCTTTGTCCGAGTTCTTCTCTTTGCATACTATGCTGTTGGCATTTTTGGACTAGGCTGTTCTAGTTCTGCTTATTCTATACCACTATGCCCCTTCTCCCCGCATAAGCTCCATATCGTCAAGTTTGCGATGTCCCCCAGAGATAATTTGACTTGGGTGGAAAACCAGGAAAATGATCGTAACCGCAAGCATAAGAGCACCATCAAAGATATACGCAAAGTACTCATGACTTTGCAAAAAGCCAGTCGACCCTTGAATATACTCGATGACTCGGTAGAGACAACGGGTCATAATCAAAGCGCTTGCAAAATAGAGCACAAGCATATACCGATGCCAGTTCACCGAAGTAGCCATTGCTGCGGAAGTGGGGTCGTTCGCCATCCGCTTATGAAAGATGACCGAGACAACAACGAAGAAGCCAAAGAAGATGATTTGGACGATCAGGCCGACGATAATCACATCTTCGCCGAGCTTCAACTTGCTAGCTGACTTGGCACTAGACATGATTGCGCCTCCTGTGGATGGAAGTTAATAATTGATCCCGCGTAAGAACGATATAGCACTTCTTACCTCCACTTTGAATGAAAAATGACAGCACATCGCCTAGGACAAAGATCTTGGTCAATCTTGTTGCGCGAATGAGCGATCTGGAATCACCATCCACCAGACGTATGATGCGACCAAGAATCATGTAGATTGATGCCGCAAACAGAGAAGGAGCGAGTAGAATAAAGAGACTCTGCAAGGCGTATGGAAGTGTCGAGTAATTTGGGGCTTCATGGGCGTTGACTGCTCGTGCCGCATATCCAATGGCTTCAAATAAACCGCCAATAATGAAGGTGATGAAGAATATTGTCTTATGCTTCCAAACGAAGAAGATGTGCCCGCAGATTAGGAAGACAAAAAGGAGCAAGAAAATAATTGCGGCTGCCAGCGAGGGTGTGTAGTTGTAGAGACTGTAACCGGACATTGTGAATGACAAGGACGGAGTTGCGATGATTCAAAGAAGGAAAAGTAACGAGTGATTTAGGGAAAGAAAAATGTTGGGAGAAACGCTCAATGGATGAAACAACTGATCTGGAAATCGAATACTTATTTGTATGCTGAGAGAAAGATCGACATATTATAAGTACACTATGGAGTTATTTATGGACATTCAAACACTGGGGGATAATGGGCGGAGAATATTTTCTTTCCCAGGCAGCTGCAATAAAATGCTAATTACGGAGCTTTAGAGCTTGTCTTCACAAGCATCAGGCTATATCCAACTGTTGTAAGTTCGGCAGAGGAAACTAGCTCCGAAAAGTCCGAATACGGACACGAAGGCCCACTTTCCACACGAGTACGGAACATAATAGTATTTTTTTCTACTTCTATGTTTAAGCGAACTGATAATTTGAACTCATTATAAACAATAGAGTAAGCTGTTGCCACCGGTTAGAATAGTTGTATGTTCGTGGGATAGTTGATTGTATGCCTCCACAACAATTGCAAGGTGATTGTCATTAACTAGAATCCACATTTCCCAGAGATCTAGTGTAATTGGGACTCGCATGACAATCCTGAAAAGCTTTCAGAAGTGTTAGGCATCCGTATTATCTTCTTAAACATCATCGTTCCAAGGAAAAAAGCGGCGCAATGCGAAACGCTCCATATTGCTTGATTCTTGATTAATATTTTTCAAGAGTACTTAAGAAACTTTGAAACCATCTAGTTAGAGATATCCTGATGTCAGGTTTCAAAATTTGCCTCCAATATTCCTACAATGGTCAGCAATTCTGCTATCATCGTTATCGTGCTCGTGTGTGCCCTCACAGCCGTCTCACTCGCGGCGGGTATATTTACTGTCGTCAACCCTGCCACCCATATGCTGTCGGCACCGAACCCAGAGCAACAAAAGTATATGCGAGAAGTCAGAATTAGGCAATTCCGTCAGCTGCGACGAGAAAGAAATTTCAGAACTGAGATTTTTCCAAGGTAAGTACTAGCTCCTACCACACTCTGATTAATCTTACTCTAACAATTTGGCAGAGCAATAGTGAACATTGAAAGCCATCCAAGCCTGGAAAGTACGAACGAGCCGTGAATCACGACCTTTTTTATTGCAATTGAACGAGTCAAGGAGGTTTATAATGGGGTCTACGACAATGAAGTGTATTTAAAGAGACAATCTTGATAAGATCAGAAAACAATCGGTATTTGAGACTTGTAGACAAACAATTCCTGACGTGAGTACTTTTTACTTGCTAGGAAGAGGCTACTATCAATATACCTTGCATTGCTAGTCTGCTATCGACTCTTCTCTTGGTAAGGCTGAGTGCATGGCGAGTTTTCGTTTCTAGTAGTCCAATGGCTTCTTCAAATCTACACATGCCACACTAGTTCCAAAACTGCGAGAAAATACTCTTCAACACTTTATTTAGTGCTGGCAATTCCCCGTTCTTTATTCTTCTTCCAATATTGTTGTTCGAGATCACGTGACCTCTACGTACGCGACAATAATTAGTCCCAGCAATAGCTAGTTTCTCTTTTCCTCTCTACACAAACTCGATATTTTCCAGAGTGTCTACATTATTTGTGTAGTATTCTCGTCTGTATCTCTAACTTTGGCTACAAGGTTTAAAGACAAAACTCGAGCATGGCCGGTGGTTTCCTTCCATACCACGAACCTGGAAGTATGTACACAAGCATATACCCATTGATCTCTGCTCATTTCCTCACTGATAAATTACTGCAGCTGTCGACATCCTCATTATCGTTTCTTTCTTCTTTTTCCTTTCCCTTGCAAAATGGGTCTCCGCGACAGTGATCCAGGCCGGAATTATAGGTCAGATCGCCGTCGGCATCATTTACGGAGTACCCTTGGCCAATATACTTAAACATCACTGGCAAGAGACTTTTGTTACTCTTGGATATGTCGGTCTCATTTTAATAATTTTCGAAGGTGGGTGGAAATGTGGAAATTTCCTTCTTGTCTGGCCTCTTGGTCTCTTGGCCTCTTGGCTTCTTGGATACTGACGTTATCCATCCTAGGCGGTCTTGGCGCCCGTGTGGACATGCTCAAGCAGAACTTCACTTTGAGTATGATAAGCGCCGCAACTGGAGTTTTATTTCCTATTGGACTTTCATACCTTTTGCTATATCTTGGTTTTGGATATGGTTTGTTTTATTTATCTCGATTCCTACAGTCAACAGCTAACATGGACTAGGTGCGGTTGAGACCTTCATCATCGGCGCATCTCTTTCCGCCACTTCACTCGGTAAGCTATCTTTCCTCGAAATTCGGTTGACTATGTTTCAATTGCTGATAAATATTAGGGACCACCTTTGCTGTGATCAGCTCTACGTCCGACTCAGTCAACCTCGCCGAGACTCGAGTAGGGTCAGTTCTAGTAAGCGCGGCTGTTATCGACGATGTTGTAGGACTTGTTATGTTAAGGTATGTTACTTATCTGAAATGGCATAATGTGCGTAGTCTATTTTTTAGCTCACTGTCTACACAGTGTGGTCGCGGATTTGGGCAAACTATCAGGAGGCGGTGATGGTGTCAACCTGGGCTGGCTCATTGGGCGTCCTATAGTGGCATCGATAGGCATGGCTGCCGTAACACCCATCGTCACCAAATGGGTGTTTGCGCCATTTTTCCGAAAGTTCATTGAATACCGCTTTGCACGCTACGACCATATCTCCAACATCATCCTCATGATCCTTGTTCTTTCGGCTTTTATTGCCATCGCTGGCTTTACTGGTACGTCCGTCTTATTCGGGGCCTTCCTAGCCGGTGTATTTCTTACATACATACCGAGCAAGCACCCCGAGGGACCATTTGTTGTCCTGAGCCGCGAGCAAGGCGAGCGCGATGCAGATAAAAGCCCCACTTTCATTCATACCTTTGAGAAATACCTGTTAGGACCCCAGCAGTACTTGATGGAACCATTGTTCTTCTCAAGTATCGGATTCGCGATTCCATTCTTGGAGCTGTGGACCGGGGAACGCATTTGGAAAGGAATTGTTTATACCCTCTTGATGGTGTTTGCAAAGGTATGTATATACCCTCAAAGGTCGTTTCTCAGCAATTAAACTAACATAGCTATCTAGTGTGTTGTCGGCATCTGGGTCCCCATATGGCAACTCGCTTTGGGGGGTAAATCTGACACAAAGCTACACGAAGAGCAGAAAATACAGGGGCAACAAAAAATCGAGGGCAACAATCCCAGCGATGAAGACCAAAGCGACCAAGAGAAGGGGAAGACGTGGAAACGGACCTGGCTGGCCACAATACTTTTAGGATCTGCGATGGTAGCACGCGGTGAAATTGGGCTTCTGATAATCGAAACCGGATACAACGAAACTTCGTACGTTAGTAATGAAGGCTTCTACACCGGCATCTGGGCGATTCTTTTGAATACCATCATTGGGCCAGTTAGCGTCGGTCTCCTGGTTCGATTCTACGCGCACGAGCTCAAAGGGGGTGATTGGGGAGTGCAGCGTACTCCTCTGGCTATCTCGGGCTATGGTTCTAGTGAACATGGAGCGGTATAGATGTTTTGTGCGAAGATTAAACGTTAGGTAGAAGATAATGGCAGCACGTAAAATGTTCACATGCTATCGAGGAAGCTATATAAACGTTTTTGTGTGAAGATTACACGCCAGGAGTTAGCTCGGTGATCCGGACCAATAGCAAAAACGGCCTGCCTCGGAAAAGGCAAGCAAAACAAGAAATCTCCTGTTGGGGAGAGCAGGGAACTTTATAGAACCACAGCCGGGCAAGCACTGGGACTGGTGGCGCTGAACCGAAAGCAACCATCGTAGCCGTCCGATATGGTGTATGCAGTATCGTCAGCAACAACGGGCATTTCAAGTCAATTTCCTCCTTATTTTAGTGTGGAGAGAGAGGAGAGAGGTGTTTAAGTTTTGTTTAATTTCGGTTCTTTCGGTGTTGATAAGGCCGCGGTCCGCGGAAACGAACGCAGCCTGTTTTAATCATTCCAGAGTTGTGGTAACCCTATCGACAAACTTGATTTTGTGAGTCACTAGACCTATTTGTTTCCCCCACGTTGCGGGGGAAGTCCAACGGGGGAAGTCCAACGGGGGAAGTCCAACCGGTAAACTTTAGCTGAAGTCTGAACGTTGCATTATCCAGTAGTAATGTCCATCCCGACGTCATCGTTCGGCGCTCCTAGAACAGGACTCATCTTTCTTTAATCAAACCAACTCGCCGGTACCTGGTTGTTCAGTACATTTTCATCCCTTCGTCTGATTCTATGTCGGCATTTGTACCACGTTGCGAAATGGTTGATTGGCTCTTACATCTATTCATACTTCATCTACGATGATTACTCTCCTTTCACCTCATTTCGTACTTCCAGCCGTCAGCGAGGATGACATGGTGATTGCTTCACTTGCATGGGGCTTCACGATTGGCTTTGGGTGGCTCACTACCTGGACAGCGGTGAAGCAGACTCTGCACATATATAAGAGAAATGGTCGCCATATCTTCCATAATGCCTATGTATGGATGATATGGCTCGAGATTCTGGTTTGTCTCATATTCAGTGTCCTCTGCTGGTTATACCTGAAGGGTACGATTCCACCAAGGTGAGCTTGAACCAATCCGAGATTACGGAAAAGGAGTCAGTGCTGACTGAATTGTCAGCTTCGCCTTCTATTTCTGCATTGGTATGTCCACTTGGGGCTCTTACTATCTTATCAGGATGCTTATTTTGCGAAGTTACTACATGGGCCCTGCAAGTAAATGGCTCTATGCAACCTTATGAGACTAATTAATGATGCGAATCCTTTCAGGTCCAATTCCTCCTACAAATCATCATCAATCGTTGTGCAATTCTTCTTGTGGATCGAAGGAATGCAAACCGTCTGAAGGTTGGCGTCGCCATCTTAATCACCGCTATCAATATTTCAGTCTACGCTATTTGGATTCCCGCACGTCTGCAAATCTCGGAAACTTACATCCGGATCAACGACCGGTGGGATCGTTGCGAAAAAGTCATATACCTTCTTGTTGATGGAGCGCTCAACTTTTATTTCATACGGATTGTTCGATCAAGCCTAGTGTCGGCCGGCTTGGGAAAATACAAAACCCTAGTCCATTTCAATATCGGCATTATAGGATTATCTCTTGGTATGGATGTCCTGATTATATCCATGATGAGCTTGAATAATACGTTTGTGTGAGTAAAGTCCCGAAAAAATGAAAAAAAATCTGCTAATACCACCTTTAGCTATATGCAATTTCATCCTCTTGCCTATATGGTCAAACTCAACATCGAGATGTCAATGGCTGATCTTATTGGGAGAATTGCTAGTGATCGTTCTTCTGTCATCATCTGTAATGATACCTTGGAGCTGGCTGGCGCGGGAGACACACAAGAGGTTAGGTTCGTCTCCCTCTAGCCACAACTCGGTGGATGCACAAAATCTGTATGCAAATCATATATTAATCGTATACATTACAGTTTAAAGGATGCATACCGTATATTGACTGAGAGCCGAGGTTGTATATTTACTATGTGGGGCAAGTTGGTAAACATTCTTAGAAGTCCTATCAAGTATTGACTACTTGCGGTGTGCACAATAGGGCTATATCTATGTATAAAAGGACGTTAGGATGAAGTTCTAGCCTTTTTGCCTGTCAATAGCTATCGATAAGCATTTTTAATACTATATGTCGGAAATGTTCATGAATAGAAATACATATTTCCGTCACTATTGTATTAATTTCCCACAATTTCCTCAAGTAATTAGATTTCATATAGAAAGTATTAATCGGTAAGAAAGTATAGAAGAAGGCCTTTTCTGGTTGGTATGAGGCCATAGTACGGATAGCCTCGTGGTGACAAATAAATCGACGAGCAGCGTCTGCGTCTGTGATAGATCAGTGTGTGAAGAAGCTAGGCCCAAACATGACTTTAGATACTGCTAGTTGCAACGTTATGATAGGAAACGATTCTTTTTACATACTTGTAATATCTAGGGAGCTCCTAAAGCCCTCAAGCATCGGACGCGCACTAGCTACATCAAGTAAAAACCACGGACTAAGGATCTTTACAAGTATCAACCCACCAC